GGGGCCGAGCGGCGCCCGCAGCCCCGCGTCCTCCTCCCGCGGCTGCTGCTCGGCCGCGCCGCGCTCGCCTCGCCGCCCCGCCGGGCTCCTGCCCTGCTCCCTGGCTGCGCGCTCGCTCCTCCAGTGCATGAGGAGTCCCCGCTGCTGCGGCGGCGGCTGCGGCGGCTTCACCTGCGGCTGGCAGGACCTGCAAGTTATTTCTGCAGCGGTAAAGCCAAAAGTGAAGAGGAAAAGCCATGTCCAGTACAGGAGAGCGACGTGCCAGGCTGGGTACCAGCCAGCAACTTTTTCCATTGCTGCTGACTGCTGATGAGAGGCAAAGAGAAGCAGCAGGAAGGAGGGAAGGAGCGAGAGAGCGGCGCGCTGCCGATTTACCCGCCGCGGGGTAAACACAAGCACAACTCCATAAAGTTTCAGACTCTGCTGTGTTTGATGCAGCCGGGGAGGAGGGGAAACGGTTTTCCTTCCCCTTCTGTTTTTCTTCCCCCCCACACACACCCGTTTTCTTTCCCTTCTTTTGCACTTTTTTTTTCTTTTCCTCTCTTTTTTTTTTTCCTTTTTTTTTTTTTTTTTTTATCTTTTTTTTTTTTTTTTTTTTTTTTTTTTTTTTTTTTTTTTTTTTTTTTTTTTTCCCTCGCCGAGACTGGCGTTGCTGATCGGGCTTTTGATGGAAGGGAAAGCCACAACCACACGGGGGAGGAGCTGAACTGAAGTCAGCGAGGGAGATGGAGAGGGAAAGGAGCAAATCGTGGCGGGCGCTTTCTCCCGGCTGCGCGGTGGCGGTGCCAGCACCCCCGGGCTGCCAGGGAGGTCTTGCTCGCTCCCCCTCCGCAAGGASTTGGCCCAACTTTTAGGCGCTCTCACGCATCTGCTCCCTCCCCTCCCCGTGATTCCCAGGCACTCGGACCCCTAAGACCTGCTCCTCAGTCCCCAAATGCTGCAACCAGCACAGGCGGACTGGAAGCAAAGGAGGCAAGTGGAGGAGCAATATATGCATAAATGCATGTGTCTGTGGAGAGCATTTCCGGGGGAAAATGCTTTAATTTCGTTAAGCAAATGGCCTTAATTGTCCAAGTGGGCTCTGCAGTGTCCCCTTATTTCACTCCCCAAAGACTGATGCAAATACACTGGTGCTGAAGGGGATGTGAAGGGAAGGAAGTGAAGAGTCAGTCCCTGGGTAGACACTTGTACTTGATTTCACAGAGACAAAGTCACGTTTCCACCCCTTGGTTCCCTCCTCTGCCTTCGCTTTGCTGTGCCGTCAGTTACAGTAGCTGGCGATGCTTAGATAAATCACTCAGGCATGACAGAAATTTGCTCAGATAAATGCCAATAGAGACAGGGACCTGCTTTTGGAAACAATGACAGCAATGGGGGAGAGAGGGGGGGAAAGGAGGGATTCCCCACCAGTGGTTTACTGCTGGAGGAAAACCCTTTTTGCTCCCTCCACCTCTCATCTCAAGGATCAGCAATTTCTCTCTGCAGGAACTGCACACTCCTTCTCTCACCAAATCCCTGCTCACCAGTTTTTGCTAGCCCTTGACAGAGCAGATCTCCAGTTTCCAAATGCTGCTCTGCCCACGCCTCATGAGCCACTTCCAGGAGCCACTTCCTTCCATTCTGCAGGACAGAGGTCCATGGCTTTGCAGACAAGTATTTTACATGTGCACATGCTTCAAGACTAAAAGAATTAAAAACTCTGCCACTGAAACTTTATTTCACCTCATCTGCCTACTCTCACTCATTTTCATTTGATCTCCTCAAGAGTTTATTTTTTAATTAATGATTTTAACTTTTGCTTCCTGACATGGAAGGCTTTATTTTATTTTCTTTGGCAGAGCATTTCAGAAGGAGTTTTACAGATTTCTTCCACAATCATTCAGAGATTTCACTTGCGTGCTCACTGGTTACACATCTCAGAGTGCTAGCTCAAGATCACAAGAGAAAGGAGACTCACAGTGACTGAGGCCAGGCAGAACTTCCTGCTGCTTGCAGTAGTGATGGATTGTCTGCGGTGTAACCATCAGACCTCAGCTAAATCTACTGTAAACCAATTAACTTCATACCTGCTTCTGCAGTAATTAACCCGCTGCACTTAAACAACTCTTTTCCTTTATTGAGCCCAAAGTCCTTCACAAAGATTTTTGCCATTGTTGTATCAGTGGGGGAAACTGAGTCACAGTGATACCAGCAATGCAGTAAGGATTGGAAATCTTATCATTAACCCAATCCAGTTTCTTCCGTATGACAGATTCACACAAAGTATCTATCCCAATGTGTGTATTAGAGAGCAAGACCCTCTTAGGACAGTAAGTCTCTTAAAGAGGGTTTTACTTAGAAGAATGAAAATTGAACTTAAAAGGTGTAGAGGGATAAGAAGCCAGAGGAAATTTCTCTCAGAATTATCTTTGCTTGCAATCGAGATTTATACTCCAAGGAGTATCCAAGGCAAATGAGAGAAAAAATCTGTCTCACTTAAACAAGTAGTTGTACCTCAAATGTGATGAGCAAACAGTGAGTGATATGGATATGCCTGTTAGAGCACACCCTATATACCATGAATATACTGCATTTTAAGAGCTCTTCAGCAAATGCACACAAGAGTCAGGCATAGCTGAGAAAATACTGGATTAGATCCAAGGATGCCCTACCCCAGGTTCTCCCTGTTGTGACTGGGCGTAAAACACAGATGTATGGTACGATCCCCGGTCCCTGTTTCTGGAAATCATCAGTATAGGAGGTTTCAGCAGCAGCGATTGCATTTGATCCCTTGTGCTTAATAGCTACTGATGGACTTCTCTTTCCTGAATTTGTCTAATCCTTATTTATATTCTCGGTCTACAAGGCATGCTGTGGTAGTCAGTTTTACAATCTGATTATGTGTGCTTTTGAATACTCGTGGTCTGCATTTATCTGAGAGACATTTTAAATCGCCATAATCTAATCCTGTGCCAGGCGTCTTTCTGCCACCGATGATGTGATGATTGAGCTGTCAAAAGTCTCAACCCTGAGTCAGTGGCATAGAAGGAATAATCCCCTGTCATTTGAAGTAAGAAATAGCTTTCCTGAATTGGGAACTGTAGTAAGCTCCTACGCTGTATTAAAGGGGTGAGTTCAAATACTCAGAAAAGAGAAGCACTGGAGTGTCGTGGATGGACTGCAAGGTGCTCTCCATGGCCATGCCTACACATGGAGAAAGGCTGTGTTTATGCGGATGCTGATGCAAAGTTACACCTGGTGAGATGATATGATGGCATCGATCACACCACTTAGTCAACTCCATCTGTTTATGATGTGTTTTCCATAAGATCTCCTGCACTAACCTGGTCAGGAGATTGCTCTTCTGTTCCATGCAAAAGTCCAGTATTCTCCCAAGGGAGGGCAGAGGAGAGGAACCTGGAAATGGAGTAATCTCTTTGCAGCTGTGGAACAGGAGACAGTGGTTGGCACTATAAAATATGATGCTATGAGAACAAATGAATAATGCAGGTCTCAGCTGGCACCTTCAGCTTTTACCAAGATAAGCAGTGACAGGGTGAGGGTTCCTCTCCAGCGGAGAAGACCACTGCAAAGGCAGAGATCTGCACAGACATGAGAGGGCTTGGAGAAATCTCACTTTGAGGTGAGGAAGCACAAGCAGGAACCTAGTGAAGGGAGTAGGTACCCCATCTGGGCACGATGGAACAGATGTCGTGCTAAGGATTTATATAGCCTTCAAAGAGGAAGGAAACAGGAGGAAATGCAGCTGAGCACAAAAATCTTCACTTGAGACTGGGCAGGTTCAGAAAGAGATGAGAGTATTGACCTGGTCGGGGCGTAAATGCTTCATGTAGTGATTATAATAATCCAGCATGTGCAATCATCTTTTTTCCTGGAGTGTTTCACACTCACAATCAGAGACTATGTGTGAAAGTGCAGTCCTAGGGCACTTCCCACATCCACAGGAGCCTATATTCTGAAAATCGCTGGCTGGCAGAGCCCTGCACACTGGAAGCATCTCAGTGATTATGCCAACACCACCTGAACTGTGATGGGTTAGAAAGCAGTGGGGGGCAAGAAAGAAAGAGAAATGGGTGGCCTTAACCAGATGAGTTTTCAATATAGGGCTGGGACATAGTTTATCCTCCTCTCAGATCTTCTAGACTAAGCAGTAGAAGTCCTCTCTAGTAAATATTTGTATAATTGAGATGTGGTGAATCTTCAGTCATTTTAAAACATGAGCTTTCTCTATAAAGACTGGGAAGTGAAGGCAGCCCAAGAAAAACACTGCTCCATTGATTCCTACCCAGCTACGGTGGGTGATGAATACTCTGCTTGGCTATTACACATAATTCCTCCAAAAGGAATCCCTGTTTGAAAAAAAAAAAAAAAAACAAATCAGGCTACAACAGGACTTGTTGCCGTTTCTCTTAGATAAAAAAAATATGTTTGCTCTCAACTGTAAATATCACAAAGATTGTTTTTTACTAAATAGGTTCTGGGTGCTTTTTCTCTAAATGAAAGAGAAACTAATTATATACATCACAACAACTATTTCCAAGTGCCTCTTTTTTCACTGAACAGAAGGAAATTATTTACTTACATGGAGTGTTTTGTGAAAAGATTTATATATATAGTTGGTACCCAGGTATTTTCTGAAATAGGTTCTGGTATTTCAAATAGGGGTAATACATTTGATATACAAAAATGTTTTGAGACAAATTGTGAAACCAAAATACCTTTAAATCTTTATGCCACAGAATTTAATTTGCCTCACTCAGATTATTTCTGGAAAGGTGACTGAAATATTTATTTTTTAACACTAATATTTGCTGTAAATTAATTAACATGAAAGCTCCCTTTTGTTATTCCAGACAACCAGCCT